GCAATCGGAAGCGATCAACGTCAGACCGAATCGAGTCATAGGAGTCGGCCTGAGTCCTGGTGAGGGCACGCCGAAGCCGAGAATTGCTGAAAACCCTCGCTCGCATCTGTTCCGCGACACGAATGGGCCTGGGGAGATCGAAAGGCACCGATACCGCTGCTCCCCAGACCTCTCTGGGGGTGCGCTCCGACCAGGATTTCTCGAGGCGAATCCAGCGGTGGCGACGAGGGCCTCCCTGGAGGCCCACGAAAGGGGAAGGCGGGCGAAGGGTGGAGGCATGGGTACCTTTCTCTTCTCCGAGGGCCTGGGCATCTTCGCCGAGAGGGCCCAAAACGGCGCGAGGCCGAAGACCGCCAGGCGTGCCGGGAGCATCGCACGAGAGGCCCCGCCACCGCCGCCGTCGCCCTGCCTGCGTCCCTCCCTGGATGCTTCGGCTCCCGCCCTCCCCTCGTCTCCCTCCACCCCTCTGCTCTCCGTCCCTCCTCCCTCTCTCCCTCCTTCCTCCCGCTCCTCCTGCCTCCTTCTCCCCTCCATCCTCGTCCCGCCTGCTCCCTGTCCCTCCGTCCCTTCATCCCTTCACCCTCGTCTTCCCCTGCCTCCTCCAGCTGCCTCCTCCTCCTCCTCCTCCTTCTCCTCCTCCTCCTCCTCCTCTTCCTCCTCCTCCTCCTCCTCCTCCTCTCCTCCTCCGCCTTCTGGCCGCCTTTTCGCAACCATGGTACCAGGCCTGTCGGGTCTGCTTTCTTCTCCCTCCATTCTCTCCTATTCTTCCTCATTGTTTGGTCATGCCGACGTTGATCGATGAAGATCGCCCGCCTGAACGCCCTTGCGAAAAAAGACGCAGGCGTGAACACAATAATACTGACGTGCAGCACGCGCACTACAGAAGTTGCGGCCAGAAGAAAGCCAACACGAGATATGAAACAGCGTGGTGTAGCCCGCCAGCGCGTAGAGGTGGATAGCAGCTGCAGGCACAGCGTCCTCTTCCTCCGCCCCGTCAAAGCCATCCCATCCCGAACAGTTCAGGCAGCAAGGCGTGCTGGGCAGCTGTAACTCGATAGGGCAATCACAACGATGCCCTGACACGAAGTGCGGTCTAGAATGCGGATTCGAAACGTACTGCACCTAAGTGCGTTCGGAAATGCTGATCCTCCTCCTCCTCCTCCTCCTCCTCCTCCTCCTCCTGGTCCTCCTCCTCCTCCCTTTCCCCCCTGCTGCTGCTGTACTGCTGCTGCTCGTGCTCCTCCCCCTCCTCCAGCCTGGTGTTCCCAACACTTTCTTCTGGACTGTGCTGCGACGTTTCAGATTTATCTCAACCCAGCATGCGATTTCTGCTGGGCGCTTGGGTGGGATCCCTGTATTCCTCTCCCCTCCCGTCATGACTCCTGCTGCCGCCCTCCAGTCTGCACGCGCGTGTGTGAATCAACGCTGTCCCGCCCCACGCTTCAGCACTCTGCTGACCTCGGACTTTGGGACTCGAGCGACGATGCGGAGAATGGGAGGACAACCAGGAGGAGGAGGAGGAGGAGGAGGAGGAGGAGGAGGAGGAGGAGGAGGAGAAGGGGGAGTAGGAAGAGGAGGAGGAGGAGGAGGAGGACAACCAGGAGACGGAGGAGGATCATAACTGCAACAAAACCACCGACAAAAGATCTGGCTGCTTGCGTCGGCTCACCATTCGTGCGGACTTGGTTTCTCGCATCAGCCCGGGAAGCCAGAGGGGGAAGAAGGAGAGAGGTGGGAAAGGGGAGCGAGACAGAGAAGACGATGGGAGTCACTGGCCGGCGGCGATAACAAGGAAAGCCATAATGGGTCCCTCGGAGTTGCGAAACTCTGCGATCTGCTGCCACAAACCCGTTCACAACATCATGCCCCAACTCCTCCTTCCCGCGGACGTCGTAGCCGTTATGGAGTCACCCCCTTGTCCTCCATCGCCCCTGCCGTGTGAAGACCTCCTGCCCGTGGCGCCAACCCGGCGGCGTGCCGGAGGGCGGGCTGGGCGTTTCGCCCGAGACATCTTCCCGGAACGTAGCCCTGGAGATTCGAGCTCCCAAGTATATGCGTATAAGTCCCAAGAGTTCCACGGACGATGGGCAGGTCGTTGTCAAGTTTCAGCAGATGCACGCGTATCGGGCGTATCGTTTCCAACAGGTTGCTTCCTGTTCGGCGGCGCCGAACACATTCGTCTTGGACGCTCTGACACTTCCCCAGATAGGGACCAGATCGTTTGAAGCGTGTGCCTCTTGCAATGGCGCAGCGAGCAATGATTTCTGAAATTGTCCAATGATTACAAATATGGAGAGTCGTTCCGTCTTAGGTTTGACCTCGCGCACGAGACTACCTCAAGACATCTATGCGCAACAACTTCGTGGACGAACTGCTTGTCCTTTTCGAAGGAGGCTCTCGCTTGTGCCTGCCACAGCTTCTGCTACTACATACGTAGTGCTGTACAACACGTATATGAATGACGCGGGGACAAAGTTCGAAGCAGGCGCTCGGCCTGGCAACTATTGGTATGGATATCTGCCAATACTTTCAGGGGTTGGTTCAATCACACAAGACTGATGGAACACACGTCCTTTTCCGAGGCGTGGCTGCGGAACGACAAACTAATGAAACGCTCGTATTTCTCGGGGTGGCTTCCCGCCGTGAGCGACGTGACTGTAGGGACTTGGGGGAGGGCTCCTTGCAGCATCAGTGCTGCGCCGTGGTTACACCCTGCGAGATGCTTAAGAAATCATGGGTTAAGAAATTGATAGTCTCAGAATTTGAAACCAAACCCAGAACGTCTATCAAAACCTTGGCATTTACATTGAAAAGTTAAGAATACTCGAGACTCTGGACGCAAACTTAGGTTTTCTTAAGCATCGCCTAGAGTGTACCTCTCGTGCTCGCCCTGCTGCTCCCGCTGGACTCGGCACGCCGTGCGCTCGCCGAGCGGAACCTGCCGCCCGCCGGCGAGGAGGCATGCGTGCCCCTGCTTAAGCACAGCTGCTTGGCACTGACTGTTACTCCAGATTTCGTAATAAAAGGGAGGGAGGTCTCATTTTGGGGGGGGTCTCTTCCAGGCTATTTTGGAGGGCCTGGGGGGTCTGTGGACGATGTTTTGGGGGGTTCTCCCACGGGGGGGGGTCTGAAATGGCTTGTCTTGGAGGGTCCAGACCCCCTCCCTTTTATTACGAAATCTGGTGTACTCGATCGTGACCAGCAGGCTGCCTGAAGCACTGCCTCTGGACTCAGCGGGTCCCCGCCACGCCGAACGGCCTGTTGCGATGCTACGGTGGAGGGGAACAAAGAGTGAACACCCCCCCCCTGCCCCCCAAACTCAAGGTTGGCACGCGCGGGGGAGACTGCGGTCGAGGTGCAACTCATCAGACCCACCGCCAACTTTGAACATTGGGGGGAGGGGGAGGCGTTCACAGATGAATGTGGCATGAGTGTTCGCTATTTTTTCCGAGGCCTGTAGAGCGCATTGCTGCCTCGACGCCCCAGACATTTCAACATGCAGAGTAGCAGCCCTGCCACAGCCGTCGGCAATCACGATGTCCGACCCAGCATCGGCAGCGTCCGTCTCGGAGCCCAGGTGGCGCGGGTGATCCCAGAATCCCAGCGAGCACAGCACCTCGCAAGGGCAACCATTGGCCACGCTGAACGGGGCCTCGATGCGAACCTCAGGGGCGCACATCAAATTTGACGTTCGCTGGTGCTGCAACCATCCACTCACTTCTCGGCACGATTGCGCGCACTGAAAACACTCGAACTGGGGTGCCTCCATGGGAACGACGAAGACGAGCGGTGAGAATTTCCCTGCGTGCCCATAGCACACCATCTTAGATATATCCGCGGTGAGCGTGCCCGCTGTGACACATGAGGAAGGGCCCGACTAGGAGCGCACGCACACAAACAACAGCTAAACCTTACGAGGTGTACCCCGCTGATGTCGCTGGAGCTATCCTCTTGCACATCCTATGTGCCCCCTCCACTCCCTCCCTCCTCCTCCCCCCCCGCCCACGCCCCCTCCGGTGCTTTCCCGCTCCCTAGCCCCTCTTCCTCTCCCCCAGCCCCCCCCCCACCCCTGGGGAGGGGGAAGCGGAGGAAGGGAAAGCGGGAGGGGTGGGAGGGGTCGACTAAAAAGGGGACGAGCGGGAGTGAGGGAGGGAGAGGGACAGCAGACTGTGCGAAAGGAGGAGAGGGGGGAGGGGAGAAAGGCGCGAAAGGAAGAGGGGGAGGGGAGATGGGGGAGAGGAAGGAGGGAGAGGGGAGAGGGAGGAGATGGTGGAAAGGAGAAGAGGGCGCGTGGGAAAGTGAGCATGCTGCAAAAAGGAGCCTCGAACAAAACGGCGCAAGTCAACGGCGCCAATTGTTCCCCCCGAGCTGGCCTCAGGCTTTCTGCCAGGACCCAGTGGAAGAATCGGACTACTAAAAACAGCATCCCCCGGATACCAAAATGGACGCAGACCGACAGGCTTGCAAAACAACACCCCCCTCGGAAGTACAGTCAGCCCGCATAGTAAGGTCGAACACCTTTCCAAGGCTACACGTCGTTCATTTCTAATCGTGCTCATTTCTAATCGTGATCGTTTCTAATTGTTCCAGGCCCCCTAGTGGCCAGGAAGAGGCCCAATATAGAACGGTCAGAAATGAAAGGAGCGTGGCCCCCAACAACAATTATAGCTGGAGTGCAGTATCCCCTAACAGGGTTTTTAAACCCACTGCGGTTTCCAAGGTCGATTGCGTGCCAGGTGCGGGCTGGAATGGCATGCTAGAACATGATAGCATGATGCTTGCAAGTGAGATGTTTACACAAAAACTTGTTAACACAAAAACTGCTGTGACACAAGTCCACGTCACACTCGCTTCCCGTTAGCTCCTTTCCTGCAACTCCCTTCCTTCTCCCTCCTCCTCCTCCTCCTCCTCCTCCACCTCCCCCTCCCCCTGCCTGCTCCCTCATCTACATCCTCCTCCTCCTCCTCCGCCTCCTTCTTCCTTCCATCTCCTTCTCCTTCTCCTCCTCCTCCTCCTCCACCTTCTCTTCATCCCGAATGGCATCTCGGAGCCCAGAGTTGGGAGGATGTCTCTAGCGCAACGGGCTGGATCACCTCGCGCGCAGCATCTCGGACCCCAGAGTTGCGACGATGTCTCGGCCGAAAGGTGCTGCGAGGAAGTCTCAGGCGAAACGGGCTGGACCACCTCCAGCGCGGCGTCTCAGAGCTCCGAGTTGCGGGGGCCTCCTGGGGCCTCCTGGGACCTCCTGGGGCTTCCTCCTGGGGCTTCCTCCTGGGCCTCCTGTTGCCTCCTGGACCCCACCTGGGGCTTCCTGAAGCCTCCGGGGGCTCCCAGGGGGGGATATCTAACATGTGGCCGTCTGGGCCCCCCCAAATGGGTGGGGGGCCACAAGAGCAGGAAAATCAACGAATGGACACCAGATGCGTATTAACTTGACACGTTCGGATAAGGGGGCCTCCTGGGGCCTTCTGGGAGCCTCCTGGGAATCTCCCCTGGGGACCCCTGGGGCCTGTCCTGGGCGTCCTGCGGCCTCCTGAAGCTCTCTGGGGCCTCCTGGGGCTCCCAGGGTCCCAAGGGGGATATGTAACATGTGGTCTTCTGGGCCCCCAGGCTGGACCACCTCTTGCGCGGCATCTGAGAGCTCAGAGTTGCGAGATTGTCTTGTGCGAAACAGGCCTGACCGCCTTGCGCACGGCATCTCAGAGCTCAGATTTGCGAGGATGTCTCAGGCGAGACGGGCCGGACCACCTCGCGCAGGGCATCTCAGAGCTCAGAGTTGCGAGGATGTCTCAGGCGAAACGGGCTGGACCACGTCGCGCGCGGCATCTTCGAGGTCAGAGTTGCGAGGATGTCTCAGGCGAAATGGGCTGGACCACCTCTTGCGCGGCAGCTCAAAGCTCAGAGTTTCGAGTATGTCTCAGGCGAAACGGGCCAGACCACCTCGCGCGCGGCATCTCAGAGCTCAGAGTTTCGAGGACGTCTCAGACGAAACGGACCAGACCACCTCTCGCGCGGCATCTCGGAATGCAAAAGCGCGAGGATGTCTCAGGCGATACGGGCCGGACCACCTCTCGCGCGGCATCTGGGAACTCAGAGCTTGGAGGATGTCTAAAGCGAAACGGGCCGGACCACCTCTCGCGCGGCATCTCGGAGCTCAGAGTTTCGAGGATGTCTCTTGCGAAACGGGCCGGACCACCTCTTGCGCGGCATCTGGGAACTCAGAGTTTGGAGGATGTCTCACGCGAAACGCCCAATCCCGGACAACTCAGAAACGAGAGTTGCGAGGATGTCTGAGGCGAAACGGCCTGGACCATACAATTTGTTTGAGGACGTCTCTGCTTTGAATTCCCTCGGCCGGAGCTAGCTTCTATCACAACAGCACCCCGTTCAGCAACCTGTTTGGGGAATCAGCTAACTCTCGAAGAATTAGACATGGACAATGTGTACCCTTGCATCCTGCCCCTCCGACCCCTCCTCGGCCGCTCTCGCGGGCCCCGCCCCGCCCGTAAAGTGCCGGGCATGGCCTTCCAAGGCCCCTGCGTCCTTCCTGGCCATCGCTCGGACGTCCATTCCCTGTGCTTTTTTCGGTGTCGTGCGTGGCTTTTTCGCCAAATGATCTAGGATGCTCCTCGATGGTCCTCGCCGAAGGAAAAACACACACGTCCGAGCGATGCCAAGCTTCTCGTGCGCCCTTACTCTATACGGGCTGGCCGCATCGGCATGGACACTGCTCGCCAGTCGGCCAGGAGGAGGAGGAGGGAGGAGGAGGAGGAGGAGGCGGAGGAGGAGGAGGAGGCCTGCGCCTTTGGACCCCGCGCGCCGGCCTCGCAGCCCTGCAGCTTCGTGCCGAAGGTGCGCAGCGACAGGTGCAGGTAGCTCCCCGGGAGCTCGGGGCTGGGCCCGGGAGGGCGCGGCCGCCCCACCGCCAAGCTCTGAAGGAGGACCTCCTCCTCCTCCTCCTCCTCTCCTCGTCCTCCTCCTCCTCCCTCCTCCTCCTTCTCCTCCTCCTCCTCCTCCTCCTCCTCCCCTCCTCCTCCTCCTCCTCCTCCTCCTCCTCCTCCCCCCCCCCTCCTCCCCTCCTCCTCCTCCTCCTCCTCCTCCTCTCTCCTCGTCCTCCTCCTCCTCCTCCTCCTCCTCCTCCTCCTCCTCCTCCTCCCGGGAGGGGTCAGGGGCCACCCCACCTCCAAGCCGCGAGCAGACGCAGGGCGGAGGTTCCTGAAAGGGGCCCATGGGCACACAAACAGATCCCCAGGATTCTCCACATATTTTTTCCCCATGTTCTGGATGTTCGCCCTTCCCTCCACTTCCTAGAACTTCCCGCACTGTCCTGAGCATCGATTATTATTGGTGTCTGTGTGTCTGCGTGTGTGTTTTCCCCTCCTGAGTTCTTCCCGCCACTTGCATTGTCTGGAGGCTGTCTCTGTTGGCGGGGGGCGCGGGGGGGAAGTGAGAAGGGGCGATTCTACTCAGAAATCTTGGGGATCCCCCGAACTCCTGAGAAGATTTCTAACCCTTCGGCCAAGACGCAGGAAACTTCTCAGAAGGCGCGAGGGCTTCTGAGAAGCCCCGCCGCCTTCTGAGAAGGCCTTCTCCTTCTTACTTCCCCGCCTCGCTCGCCGCAAACACCAGGCGCCAGGGCCACCAGCAGGGGATCCTGGGAATAAAGAACAACTGGTCCCTGGGAAGTTGTCGAGGGGCCCTGGGGCCACGTATGAGAAAACCAAAGCGTCGGAGTGCTGAGGGCGGAGAGGAGGGTGGGAGAAAGGAAATGAGGAGCTGGGAATGCAGAAAGGGCCCCAGGCCGTCCTGAGGCCATCTTGGGACGTCTTGGAGCGTTCTTTGGTCGTTTGGAGATTTCCTGGACCACATTGGAGTTCTTTCGGGCCCGTCTGGAGGCCATCTTGAGGCCTTCTGGGGCCGTATTGGACCGTCTTGGGGACACCTTGGAGGCCTCTTTGGATGGGGGATGGCGCCGCCCAGAGGCCCGGACAGCGGAGTGGTGCCCCACGCAGATCCGCCCAGACGGGACCTCGCCTTCCCTCGGGTGGCTGGCAACTGTGTAACCTGATGGGCCGATCTTCTACCACCGCTACCATAAAGAGGACGGGGGAGAAGGGAGGATGGGAAGGTCCTCCTACTCCTCACCTTCATCCTCCTTCTATTCCTCCTCCCTCTCCTACATGTACTAAGAGGTTGTGGGAAATCGGTCCATCATAACCGTCACCATTTTCGAGGGCTCATGGTATGTCCAGCCGAGTGGTGCCCCACGCAGATCCAGGCGGGACCGCTCTCTTCCCTGGGGGGGCTGGCAATTGCGCTTGCTGTTGTCGCTGCCGTGGGTTCAACGCGCCAGAATACAAATAAAAACTTCACTCCAAACGTCGCCTTAAACAGTAGTCCAGGTTCAGATCTAACAGCACTTTGCGAACAAAAGGAAACTCGAAGAAAACGCCCAGGGTCCAGTCCAGACTCTTGATATTCTGACGCGGGATCTGGAGTCCATGGAAAACGCTGATTGTTCTCAAGACTTCTGATGGGTGTAGGAAGGTCCAGTGGAACGGTGTTCCACGCAGATCCAGACGGGACCTCGCCCTCCCATGGGGGGCCTCGCAGCTGCGCGACTGTCGCCACCTTCGTGGCCGCGTCGAGCGGAAAGGCGTCCCACGCAGATCCAGACGGGACCTCTCCCTCCCTGGGTGAGCTGGCAACTGCGCAACCGTTCGCACTCTCGTTTGCACGGAGTCCCCGCGCCAAATGTCGGATCATCCTCACGCGGTCGTTCTTGGGACCTTTGCGCGACGCGACCCGCACAACGGCCGCCTCGCCCGCATGCCCGCCAAATTGCCGGGGGGGGCAGCCCCGCAACCGTCGCTACTTCCGGGCTCCCCCAGGGAGTCCAACCTATTGTCTCATTTCGTTTCCTCCTGCCCTTCTTACTTATCCTCTATATCACGTTATCCTGCGTCCTCTGGTCTGCTAGTGCCCCCAGCTGTTCTCTAACCGTTAAACTTTCGACTTCTCGTGGTCATCGCGGTACTCCCGTGCTCGCCTTGCCATGTCGTGCTCTACGGCGCTGCCTCATTTAAGCCTGCCACGTGAAACGTACAATGCCTAAGCCTCTCACGAAGCGTTTACAACACATCTGGTTTTGCCACACCGTTGCAATCGCCCGCTCTTCTGGCCACCTGTCAAAGATGGGCCGGGCACGTCTCCAGGGTAAGCTGCATGAGTGTGGCATGCTCGTGGTTTCGGTCTGTACAAGAACCCAGATGCTTCAGATGCCCCCAGGGGTGCGCCAAGACGGCCCCAACAGGGGCAAACAAGAGCCAAAGAGGGACCCACAATGGCCCCACGATGCCCCCATGGGGGCCCACCGAGGAGCTCAAGGCGGCCCCATCGGGCTCTAAGACAGCAGCGAGGCATCTGAGACGACCTCACAACGGCCCCAGGGCCTCCCAAAACAGCTCAGAAACGGACGGAATGCTTGTCCGACCATGCCCCCTGCGAAGCGATGGTGTGTGCGTGAAATGCGTGCGTGCGCGCGCGCGCGCGTGTGTGTGTGTGTGTGTGTGTGCGTATGTGTGTGTGTGTGTGTGTGTGTGTGTGTGCGTGTGCGCGTGCGTGTGTGAGTGTGTGTGTGTGCGTGAGTGCGAATGTGTGTGTGTGTGGGCGCGTGTGTGTGTGTCTGTGTGTGTGTGCGTGTGCGTGTGCATGTGCGTGTGCGTGTGTGGTGTGCGTGTGTGTGTGTGCATGTGTGCGTGTGCGTGTGTGTGTGTGTGCGTGTGTGTGTGCGTGTGTGTGTGTGTGTGTGCGTGTGTGTGTGTGTGTTTGTGTGCGTGTTTGTGTGTGTGCGTGTTTTTTTGATCGTGCAGGTGTGCACAGCCAAGCTGTACACACGACAGCCACCAGGGCCGCCACAACCGAGCCACTCGGCCCGATCAACCCTGCAAGGCTACGGCAGGACCCCACAGTCCACGCCACAGCAAAGGCACGTCGGAGCTCCACCCTTCGGGCGAGCGTCGCGCGAAGCGCAAGGCACGGTCCAAGTTAGACCACGCGAAGCGTGTGCTATGCCACGGGAGCAACGACACCCACGTGGGAGGACCATCGCCGACGTGCAGCACACTGCCAAGACACGCGAAACGTGCATATGCAATGAGAGAGGACCCACACGCCTGCCATGCGAAGCGTCCAATTGAGTCGGCGCGAGCCCAGCATGACCGCAGCACAGGAGGCCGCCACGCCAGGGCCCGCACGCAAAAGAGCACGCACACGCAAGACCGCGAGGCGCGCGAACCCGCAACAAGGGCAGCCAAGGGGCTTCTGCCGCGGGCACCTTGCAGCGAACCTTCAGAGTCCCCCAGGGGCACCATCAACAACGAGGCGAGCACCAAAAGCATGCCGCAGTCACCACTCACTCGGGCAAGCGCTGCCTTGACTTAGGGTCCAGCCCCTGCAGAATCAAATCACGTCTCTGTCGGCGAACGCGTCCTGCACTGTCGCCCTTCAGGGGGTGACCTGGGCACCCCTTCCCGAGCTGACGCAGCAGTCCGTCACGTTCACGAACAAGAAAAAGCAACACTTCATGCATACACGAAACCCACTGGCAACATGTATATCGTGGCCAAGAGCATCCGCGGGAGGCGACGTCCTCTCTGCCGCTTCGCCCGCATCTGCACACGACAAGGGCGGCCCAGTCTGGTGCTGATCTCCATCCCCGTCGTCTCGGCCTTCTGCGCTGCTCTGGGAAGCTGCCATGGCGGCAGCCGCTGCTGCTGCTGCAAGCCCTGCAGCCGCTGCAGGGCGCTTGGCCCCTGAGCAGGGAATCCCATCGACCATTGGGGGACCTGGCCTTGGGATGCAGGGTAGGTCAGTGAGCTTGCGCTGAGACTCCTTCGTTCTCGCATACCTCCCACGCGAAGTGCACCGCCAGCATCCACCTGTCTTCACGAACTCATGCGCGGTGAGAATTAGCTGGATTTGTTGGCGGATGCTTGATGACCACTTCCGTATCGATGTCATCACGGGCAGTAGCGGCGGGAGCACCATCACGAGCGACCCACGCTACCACCCCGTCCACCATGAGGTCGGTGCGCCAAAGCTTGTCCCTGTCGTGTCCCCAAGGCGAAAGGACGCGTGACCTGCTTGGCCCAGTCGTCTGCCTCGAGTTTGCCACGGCGCTCCCAGCGTGTGAGCCTGCCCGCTTCAACATCTCCGAGGGTCCCATGGCCTTTGACTTTGACCACAGTCAGACCCTCAGGGCACAAACCTCCGAAGTCGTCGATGGCGTCCCAGACCAGCCTCCATAGGCGCGCCCAACTGTGAGTCGACCCACATGTGCCTGCTCGCCCGCGCGACATCAGCCCGTCGACGACGTAGCTAGCATCCGCTCGCACGGTGATCGGCGCCAGGCTGTGCCGCACCAGGAGCAGGATGGCCAGCAGCTCCGTTCCCTCGGTGGACTGGTGCAGCCCCATCAATGGAGACCCCAGCGCCCTCAGCGCACACCTCGGGCCTGGGTCGAACCACCCTGGCCCGCTAGGGATCTGCACCACTGCACATCCTGCCATGCCGTAGTCCGTGTCAAGGTCGAACGCCGACCCGTCTGTGAAAAGCTCGGCATCGTGGAAGGGCTCGCCACCGTTGCCAAGTAGCCAGCGCACACCTGACATCAGCTCGTCCTGGGGCGCTTGCCATAACACCTTGGGCCTGACCATCAGCAGCCTCTCGACGAGCGTTATGATGTTCGGGAGATCGGCCTGCCGCTTGGGCATCTCAATAGCTGCTGGCAGCTGCGGTTGCGGCCAGTGATGTGCACATTCGATATGCCTATGCCACAGGCTGCCGACCTTCCCAGGGCACAACGCGCAGTCACTTGTGCGAGCATGCCGTGA